TGCACATTGAACCTTCAAAATATATTTGTTCTGACGGTAAATTGCTACTGCTATTAACTACTTGCTTTTTGACCCTTTTGTCCTCTTTTGCTGCATTTTCCTTTCCCTTTCTCCCTTCCTCTCCATTTACTCCCTCTCGTGCCCCCTTCCTTCCTTCCTTTCCTCTACATCCCCTCCCTGCTGATGCATTGCAAGATGAAAACACACACCACCCACTGCCCGTCCTTCAGCCATATGTTATTTAACTCAAACAGATTTACTTGATTAATGGACTATGTTTTAACATTATCACTGATGCGCTGCACATTTGGTCATATTTTAATCATCTAGTACATTTCCACGTATATAAATATCACTGTCCTCATTAGATTCTGATTAAACAGGGAATGTGTGTGTGTGTGTGTGTGTGTGTGTGTGTGTGTGTGTGTGTGTGTGTGTGTGTGTGTGTGTGTGTGTGTGTGTGTGTGTGTGTGTGTGTGTGTGTGTGTGTGTGTGTGTGTGTGTGTGTGTGTGTGTGTGTGTGTGTGTGTGTGTGTGTGTGTGTGTGTGTGTGTGTGTGTGTGTGTGTGTGATTTCACATCATCAACAATATGACTGGGAGGGCCTTGCTAAACCAAAGGGTTTGGACACATATCAAATCAACACTGATTGCATCATTGAAAATATGTGTTGTTTTAAAATACACTGAGCTCGGGATAAATAAAACTTATTAGGAGAAAGTATGTCTGCAGAGGTTTTAATAAGTTATTCAGTTGACTTGGGACATAAGCTTTTGATCACACACACAGATGCTAAACACACACAAAACAAGCAATATCCTCCATCAATTCCATTACGAATGGTGTCACCAGGAGCCAGAATGAGCCATGAGAGCGGCTGCAGCAGAGGTTTCACTCCCTTACATTGTGGTCTGCCGCTCGGCCAGCAGAATACTAATGCTGAGCTGTGGGGGGGGGGCACGGCTACCAGCCTGTGCAAAAAGCAGGACTTTGGGCCAGCGGCTCTGTGTGAAAATGGGAACGGCTGCAAAAAAGGGATGAGAGTGCCCCCTGGCTGCCTGGACCCTGCCACGACCGGGGTAGGGGAGGGGGTTTATCCTCCTATCATTAACTCAAGAGAATACCCCTCTCCATGAAATCTACTCCAACTCATCACAATCCCTCCCCTCTCTCACACAGCCCAGCCTCCCCCCTTCCCACATCTTTTCCTTTCTTTCTGTCAGCCCTTTGATTTTGCTCTTATTCCTCATATTATCCCTTGACGGCTCTATCTAGGTCACAACAGGGACTTTCATGCCTTTAGGACCCCCAAATCCCACCCGTCCCCCGTGTCAGAATGAGACACCCCCTGTAATGAAACACTGAACATCAGGACAGGAGTAAACACTGTAGAGGCAGAGTGGGTCTCAAGTGTTGAAGGGTAGTTTGAATGTTTTAAAGTGGGGTATTATCCAAACGCAGAGCAATATGCCGTGGTCATGGTGGCAGCAAAACTTATTTTAGCCACCTTTTAATGATTATCACAGTTCAGTGTCGCTATATTAGGATGTTTTTGTTGCTTTGCCTTGCCTTGCTATTCTACACTATAGCACTTAGCATAAGCATGTTTTATTTTTGATGGGCCTTTCTTTCAGATGGCTGACATCAGGCTTGCTGCTCCATAGTGGCACATTGTTTGTAACACAACCAACCTCTGTCCCTTTGAACGTTACGGTGTTCATATACAGTTTTCACACACAATGAACACTCAGCTTGTATAGTTGACTACAACAGTTCAAATGAATGCAGTCCCCTTCAGTATAATGGTGTTATGTTTACATTGTAGTGTATGTAGTTTGTGCTGGATAATTCATGAAAAAGGGTGTACAAACTAAAACTACAATCACTATATAACTTCCCCATCCTAACAATATGATTGAAGAAAGCATTTATGCAGGGCTGCTGTATTATACCCTGCATTCATTGAAGCTGTTAGCTGACAAACAAAACAAATGAATGAACTGACTATTGGTCACATGTCCCTGTTAGATTGAGGTATGTATACGTTGGGTATACGTTGGGTATACGTTGGGTATACGTTGGGTATACGTTGGGTATACGTTAGTATTAGTTTTGTAGGTTTTTAATATAAAACAAAGTATCAGAGAAATAGATAGTGTGTCACGGCAATAGTTATTACAAATTCAAATACAATCCATCTGATAGTCGACACTTCACTCAGAAACACGAAGCTCAGTCAGGAGGTCTCCATCAGCAGGATTTATCATCAGAATACGATGCATTTCTGCTCAAAACGTCCTGATATAAATGTATGGAGAGACATTTCAGCTTGAACCAAAGAAAAGGATGTCCATGGCAACATGTTGTCAGAGAGAAGCATCGTGTGCATGCAAGGATTATTACATTCATAACTTTTCCTCATTCTAAACATATTGCATTGAGTAGCACACTACTGTAGAGATCTTATTGTACCAAATATTAGGGATTTTTCTCGGATTTATTTGTATTTCTTTACATAAGAATATTTTGTAATTGCACATTGTGTTATGTCATATTTGGGTTAAGGAGACAGTGATTCCATGAGGGCGTAGTGTTGGTTTCTCAGCTGCAGTTGATGCCACAGAGATGTGTTCATGGTCGCTCTTTACTCCCCCTGTGTGAGAGCAGCAGCCAGCGTGAGTTCTCCTCAGCGTTAGTGGAAACCCCTGAATTCTCCTGAAAGCTATCAGTTGCATGTCAGATTCTCTGCACAGTCCCATGGTGCAGTTATGGAAATGATATCTGCTTCCCTCTGGATAGACGACTGTGATACAAGGAGTTGTGTGGCAGTTCACAGATAACATGTGAAAACGTATAATCAACCCGGTTACCTTGAAGGTATCCTTTTATAATCAGTGTATCATTAGCACATCAGTGTCAGGGACGATCATGTGACCAAATGGCCCTGCCAGAGTTCTTTCAGCAATTAGCTGTGTTTTATTTTCACTACAACCCAAGGCATTACAACTCTGCACAGTAAGACACTTAACTGCCATAAGAGGTTGACGAGAGCCAAAGAGATGAGCCTGTTCAAATCATTTTGATTTGGAATTGAAATTAAAATGTTCAGTCCTCTGTAGATCACTTCATCTGCTAGTCTCTGGTTCATGGGACACTTTGCATAAAGTGTGCAGAAACTTCTGGTCAAAGCAAAAGGTCTAAAGTGTTTCAGATGACTGTGACGGCCTTTTGTTCTGTTAGTGGAAAAATATGATTTGATTCATTTTGTAATTTCAGCCAATTCATGTCAATGTCGTGTCAATTTGTGAGAGGGAGGTATTGCTCTGTGCTGCAGTGTCCCCTTTAGCTTTTGAAGTTAAGCAAAGAGTTCTGAGATTCTTTGAAGCTGAACTAATCTGGTGTCACCTTGGGGCTAACTTGGTGACAAACTGAAACGTCTTTGTCATTATAGATTTCACTAAGTATCCAGCAGACACATAGCAACATTAGCATTTGCTCGGGGTTATACACTTAGCCACCTGAAACATCTAAGTCCAACATTCACTAAGAGAACCAAAACAACAGGCTTTAAGATGTTAACATGTCCTGGGGAGCTGTGATGTTCATGATGATTATCCGAACATCTCTTTCACATTACAACACACTAATTACATCCATCAAATATCTCAATAAATGGAACATTATCTTTAGGGATGTTTGCTAATTCAATTGACATAATGAATGTATAGGCTTTTTTCTGAACTGACACTTGACCTGCTGTGACTCGGGGGAAAGAGACGCTAACTACCTGACGATAATTAGCCATCACCATGTCGAAACTAACGTAATCAATGCAACACCCCCTTACTGGTTTTGTGTGTGTGTGTGTGTGTGTGTTTGTGTGTGTGTGTGTGTTTGTGTTTGTGTGTGTTTTCCAGGAGGCCCTCATTTCTCCCGTCTCCCCCGATGTGCTGTACCTGTTCAGAGTGCAGGCCATCTGCATGAATGACATGCGCAGTGACTTCAGCCAGAGCATGCTCTTCAGAGGTAACACACACACACACCCACACACACACACACACACACACCCACACACACACACACACACACACACACACACACACACACACACACACACACACACACACACACACACACACACACACACACACACACACACACACACACACAAAACGCTGTGCTATTGTCTAAGTAATTTCTGACATTTAGGATTCCTTTGATCGTAAGATCACGAAACCTTTCATATGCAGCTTATTGATGTGAGCTCATATCAACAGCTGCAGGCTGAAGAAAAGGAAAGAGGAGTTAAGAAAAGACGCAAAGCAGCAGTAAGCAGCTGAAGGGCTTTGAGATGAATTCATTTCATACATTCAGTTTATTGGCTCTGCGATTAAGTATTCAGCGCCTGGAATTTACATACTGTCATGTTGTGATTAATGTGCTTGCAGTGCACTCATGTGTGTCTTAGTGAAGTGCTTCCTGGCTGTCTCTCTGATGTTTATCTGTGGAGTATCCCATCTTCCTTTCTGTTTTTCAGCAAACACCACAAGGATCTTTGAGGGGACGAGGATCGTGAAAACTGGAATGGTAAGGATAGCAGACGTGAATCACTGCTATTGTCTTTCCATGTCTGATCCAGCAGAGAGCAGTGTATTAGCATTATTCTTCCCTGTGTGGAAAGAAAGGTCTCAAAGTGAATTCATTATTTTTGTTCCAGCATTTCTGTCTGTCCTTGGAGAGGGATCCCTCCTCTGTTGCTCTCCTCGAGGTTTCTCACATTTATCCCCATTAACTGTGGGGTTTCTTTGGGAGCTTTCCTTAATGTTAGGGTGTAAGGACAGAGGGTGGGGTATTCATATGCTGAGACAAGTGTAACATTAGTGACATTGGGCTATATAAAAACACTTTGATTAATTGATTGGCAGTGGTTACAAAAATAGGATAAATGGATTTGAATTCCCAAATATAACAGTATAGAGTGTTCTGCCTCAAATATACTTTAAGAGGTTTAACACCTCTGTCAATAATGTTAATGTCGACTGACAACAACAGAGGATGTCAAATACTAATCCCTTAAAGTTTGTTTCTCAGCCCACCGTGTCTCCAGCCTCCTCAGCAGACATGGCCCCCATCTCCTCCGGCTCATCCACTTGGACTTCCTCAGGAATCCCCTTCTCCTTCGTCTCTATGGCGACAGGAATTGGCCCGTCCTCCAGCGGTAGCCAGGCAACAGTGGCCTCGGTGGTGACCAGTACTTTGCTGGCTGGCCTGGGCTTCAGTGGCGGAGTGATCTCCTCCTTCCCCAGCTCTGTTTGGCCGAGCAGAGCACCATCCAACAACCCCCCCTCCGCTCGCCACACCTCTGAACCTAACAAACCCACCAAAGATGCTTCTGCCGTCACCACGGCCGCAGACACAGATAACAGCAAGGCCGGGGGGGAGGATAGAGAGAACAGCAAAGGTCAAGGAGAGGACGGAGAGAGGGAAGGAGAGGATAAGGATGAAGAGGAGGAAGAAGAAGAAGAAGAAGAAGAGAAGGACAAGAAGAAGGGGAGGAAGGGATCAGGAAGTATGGGAGCAGCAGGGAGGAAGGACAGCAGGACAGCGGTGAGAGAGACACCCAGCGAGACACCAGACGCCACTGCAAAGGAGAAAGAACCAGATCTAATGAACACGCCTCCTGATGACGATACCCACCTGGAGGTGTACACCCACAATCTGCCTGAGCCTCACACCCCCACCCCCTCAGAGGCAGCCGTTCAGACAGCAGAGCCCCCCGCCCTGAAGGACCCGGCAGCCACACGCAGACCCAGCCCAGGGGGGGACAGGAAGCACGGGCCTGTCTCAATCCACACTGGTGAGCCCCTTCTCTGCATGTCTGAAACAATTAGCATGATCATCTGTAGAGCGACAGCATGACAGGAGGAACTGGGGGGGGGGGATAATGTTCTTATCTTCTACTAATTGTATTACTTGTCCAAATACAGTAGTTGGGTGATGCTGGCTGACATCTGTTTGATGAAAACCAAGTATATTCTTACATAAGATAACTGGATAAGTTCCTCAGGAGTACGAACCAAGCGCTCTCCTCGCCACGTTTTAAAGTGTAGCACCTCTAGTGGTCGTGTAAGAAACAACATGCTCCCGTTTATTCGTTTATTCACAAATAACCCTCTCTGGAAAATCCTAAATTGTAGAATAGTTTGGTCATTAAAATGCGTTTTGATTAGATTTCCAGCGAGAAGTGTATATTGTACTTTTAGAATCCACGTCCAGTCGATATGTAGGATCTATAGTTTGATAGATATTACGAAGATGATCTGAGGTCTCGCCAGGATAACGTGTATATGCGGCAGCTTCCATGTAAAGTTAGCGTGGGTGAAAACAGTTTTTCCGGTCTCGAAGTTTTCCTAAATAAACCGGATATATTCCCTTCACTGTCAAATGATTACACAGTGATATCTCCATTACTCATCCACTGAAAAACATCAGTTTATCCTTGTTAATTACACAATATTGATAGGTTTAAATTGTGTACAATGCTTTTGTCTTGTTCTCGAGTGAGGGAACAATGGAGCGTGAGATGGGCCGGAGAATCGGAGCAGCGGGAGCGGTACTGCAGTCGCTTTACCGCACCGTTGTGACGAAAAGGGAGCTGAGCCAGAAGGCAAAGCTCTCGGTCTTCCGGGCCATTTTCGTTCCTACCCTCACCTATGGTCATGAAGGATGGGTCATGACCGAAAGAACGAGATCGCGGATACAAGCGGCCGAGATGGGGTTTTCTCCGCAGGGTGGCTGGTGTCTCCCTTAGGGATAAGGTGAGAAGTTCGGTCATCAGGGAGGGACTCGGAGTTGAGCCGCTCCTCCTTCGCGTCGAAAGGAGCCAGTTGAGGTGGTTCGGGCACCTAGTTAGGATGCCACCTGGGCGCCTCCCTAGGGAGGTGTTCCAGGCACGTCCAGCTGGGAAGAGACCAAGGGGTAGACCTAGGACCAGGTGGAGGGATTATATCTCTTCGCTGGCCTGGGAGCGCCTTGGGATCCCCCTTTGTGTTTTTAACCTTCGATTCAGAGAAACAAATCGATTTTTAGGAGTTTAGACACTACAGTTTCCGAAGACACTACCCAGAATCCCCAGCTATCGTTTGGGACTACAATGAAATGGAATGGAACCATGACAGACTTTCCAAAACTGGAATTGGACAGGTCCAGCCCCCGGCTCCAGCTTACCCCCCCCCCCCCAGAACTACACATGCTGGCTATTGTGTGTTTCGCAACATGTTCTATGGCACGTCTCTTTATAACGGTACATCCACACAGCAGCTTTAAACAAATCTTCCAACGCTTCTCTGCCCATTGACTTTGAATGGGGATGACGTCACTTTGCCTCGCTTTTCGCCGAACTGCATTGTGGGGGAGCGAAGCGAAGATTTCCAGGATTTCCAGGATTCAAAAGTTGAGTAATGTTCAACTTTTGAAGCTGAGCTGGAAGCGTCAGCCAATCAAATCCCGTTTATGCAAATCTGACAGTAGAAGCGCTAGTCAATCAAACCGCGTGTAAGCAGGGAGAGCCAGACCGCAGTTCATTTCCTCATATTCCAAACGAGAAATTACGGTAGCAAATCACCCGGTTCTTTACGACCAGAACTATTAACGGGATACAAACCGGAGGAACCAGGCATGGAGGGAGGTGGCAGAGACAGTGGGTGAAACTGGTAGGTTTTCGCCTGTTTGGGGAGTTTATATATATATATATTGCTCGCATAAAATCCCCGGGTTTTTTGCTTTGCATATCGGGGGCGGGAGATTCATGTGATTGGTTGTTGGTCGCGTTGCTCGCAAAAAATCCCCAAGCTTTCAGACACGCCCAGCTCCAAGATTTTCAAGATTTTCGAAATGCTGCTGTGTGGACGTACCGTAAGACGTTTTCGTATTTCCCACAATAAGAAGTTGCCAGTATTAAACTGTGTACACCCTGGAGGTTTAGGGGATACGAAACACAGTGGTGTTATCAAATTTAAAACATATAATTAATAAATGGGTGAATTAATATACGTATATATATAATATACTATAATATGTAGGGCTGCACGATATTGAAAAAAACTGACATTGTGATTTTTTCCCCCCTGCGATATTATATTTAACCGGATGAAGGTATTGTCCTCCTGTGCCTCGCTCATTTTTTACCAGTGTTTTGATGGTCTGCAAACTAGCGGGGCGGGGCCTGCTGTGATCTGATCAAGAATGATTGTGATTGGTGGTTTGCTGTGCATGCAGAGCCTGCATGTCACTCACTCAGGTACCCCTGACATGAGAGCCGCGCAAGTTTTCCTTTTGTAGCATTTCAAAAATACAGATTTCAGTATTTTGAGGCTCTGAGCCCCATTTATTTTCCTCACAGACGGGAAAAAAAGTCCGACATTATACGATTTAAAATAAAAAGATAAAACACTGGCATGTAATTTACGTTAGAATAAATAGAATGGTTTTGAATAATAGATGAGTAAAATCTACGTCACTTTACAGCCCCGCCCACTTTTGGGGAAACCAACACTGTCATTTGAACGGCGATCAAGCCTGAAGCCACAGAGATCTTCTGTTACTGTCCTTTCTTCTTAGAGGAAGTACAGAAACACGTAACACTGGATTTGTTTTAATGTTTGAGGTGCAATAAACGACACAGCAGCTTTTTGGCATGTTACAACTATTATTTTCTGCCTCACTCAGGAGAGTAACAGCTGGCGAAATTACAGCCTCGCCTACTGATTTCAAATGTGTGCTCTAAAATGATATTTATAAATGACTATTATCATTATTATAAGCAAGACAATAAATGGCAAAGATATGTAGAAAATAAACGCATTTGAGATGCGTTCATAACGAACGTAACGTGGGAGAAAATACGTTTCTAGAACATAGAAAATAAACGTATTTGAGATACGTTCATAACGAACGTAACGTGGGAGAAAATACGTTTCTAGCTAAACGTAATTGAGAATGCAGTTTAGTTCTGTGGGAACGTGATTTTTAGGAGACAGGGTTGCAAGAGGTGACAGCGGTTGCCAAACCATGTAACTCAAGTAAAGGTTGAGCACACAACATCACAGGTGTGTTTGATTTGTGCCACTTTACATTTTCTTTGATTGGTGCTTTAGATAAATAATACATTTTAGTGATAAAGTACAATCATGGTGACACTAACCCATCATCATCTCATTCTAAATAAAATGTATTTCATAGTGCATGTGTGTGCTGTTCTCTGATCTGCACACACCTGCAGCTTCTCTCTGCTGCTTTACGTTAATTATCACACTTAATATATTTCATGTGTTTTTACTCTGTAACACATAAATAGATGTACTTCAACAAAAGTAAAGTTACCTACTTTTAGAAATAGTTAGTGCAAGTACACAAAAAACGACTTTTTTACAGTTACAACAACATATTTAATTCGTTACATCCACCGATGTCGTTCAGTGTTAAAGGCCCTGTCACACTGTCCCGAAATTGACACCCGATGGACACACGAATATGGAATTGTGAATTTCGCACAAAGATGGCCCCGAACCACACACGAAGGCAACATTTACATTACATTTAAGACATACAACTGCAATGAAAGTAACAAAAACAATTATGTTACAGTACTATGATACTGTACTGATATCTTCAGACTTTGTTCTTTACTTTATCCGTCGTTATATGTAGAAAATATTACGTTTTCTCCGTAATGTTGTTTCCATAACAACAACAACTTCCTGTCAACTGTCCTTCAAAATAATATATTATATCGTTTTTAGTTTCACAGAACACAAATTGGGTTATTTACATAATATGTTTGCATGATTTTGTTGTGCAATAAAACAACCCGATGGACACACGATAAAGGAAATGTTCAAATTCGGCTGTGATCGTAGCAACATCGGGCCATTCGTGAGGGCATCTTAAGCCTTCGTATGACCGCCGGTGGAGTTTCTCAGGCTCCGGCAGCAACTTCGTGAGCGGTGGCAAAATCTTTGGCATGCCAAAAAATTGCCGAAGGACCTTGCGAAGGTTCATTTTCGTGTTGAATTCGTGTGTCAATTGTGCCCTTCGTAAGGCCATCGTGAGGGCATCTTGTTATCATCGTTGCCATCGGGCATTCGCCCCGATCAGAGTGAGGGTGAATGCACCGATGATAACACGAAGATGACACGATTTGACAAGATGCCCTCACGATGCCTTACGAAGTTGCCGCTCACGAAGTTGCTGCCGGAGCCTGAGAAACTCCACCGGCGGTCATACGATGGCTTAAGATGCCCTCACGAATGGCCCGATGTTGCTACGATCACAGCCGAATTTGAACATTTCCTTTATCGTGTGTCCATCGGGTGTCAATTTCGGGACAGTGTGACAGGGCCTTTAGCGAAGTCACCATGACTTGTAACTTTATTATATAAAGGTCACCAGCTTAGTTGATATTTCTGATCAGTGTTGTTGTGAGGAAGATGAAGCAGGAGCATGAACACGATGCAGACGTCCTTGTGGAACTGGCCTCTTGCACACGTCTTAATGCAGTAAGTGATGGATAGATTGGATGTAGAGTGTTCAGTAAAGTAAAGTGTTAACAGAGTTCCAGCAGGAGCTGAGAGCAGACATAATGCTTTCCTCTGCCCACTGCCCCCCCTCTCTCCTCCACGCACCTCCTCATCCTCTCTCTGACTCTCCCTCTCTTCCAGCTCTAATCTGAGTGCTGGCCTACTTTCAGACATGGCGAGAGGAGATGAGGCTTGCAGGCTAGACTCAGCTGCAGGGGGGGGAAGCTCTGCCTCATTTATAGTTACATGTGTGTGTGTGTGTGTGTGTGTGTGTGTGTGT